TTGCCCGCCCTGCAGTGGTATTCCCTGTCCCAACCGGCTTCAACTTCATGTGACTTTTAGCCAAGTAAATACATCGCTCTTCAGGTACGGGGCGGGGGGGCTAAATGGGGTTTATATTTAGTTAGCCAGGGTAAGCTGGCGCTCCGGACGGTGGCAGCTAAGGTGAGCCCTGCCCTGCCTTTGGCCCGGTGTCATGAGGCACTGCAAACATTAAATTTGGTTTCCGTCCTGTCAGCAAACGCACATATGCTCTGCCCGGCATGACCTGCGGTATGGTAGTGTATGCAGGTGAGTGCTCTGAAGTGGGTTTCCACAGGATTTTCGTTGCCTGCGACTCATAACGTGCCTTGGACCAAACACGCAGCGGTGTCCAAGCGTTTCTTGGTCTCCTGTTGGTAGGAGTCACAGTGTTGCAGATTTCGAAGATCGCTGCTGGTCTTTGCTTCTTGAAATAAAACTCCACGGGGTCCAGTCGCGTGCTGCCTGCTCTGCCACAGAGTGAGCATGTGACCTTGGGAAAAATCAGTTTACATCTGTCCCAGTTTCACAGCCACTACCCCAGATACACATGTGCCTTTCCCTAGAGCTTTTCAACTGACAGAAAGAAATTCACTCTTCTTCTACATGAAACTGGAAGGCTGGTAGTCTAATACAAGCTTAATTCATCTTGTTCACCATATTCCTGTACTTCTCAGCTCCTTTTTCCGTGCAGTGCTAAGTAGCAGTGGCTGAGAATGGGTCAGCCTGGAAAGCAGTGAGTAGGTAAGGCTGACACACTTCTCTGCTGAGAAGCCCGGTCTCTGCTACTGCCGCTGCTGGGGAGAAGAGCTTTGAAATTTTTGCACACATGCTGTGTCTTGCCTTTCTTTCTAGACTGTGATCTTTTATAGTAGCTTCCAATCAGGCCCGCTGGGGTTGGAAAAATAATTAAAATGCAACTCCCTCTCTTTTCACGTGGTGGAGTGGAGAAGTCCTTCTATCGCCTCCTCTACTCTCCAGTTTCCAGATTGCTATTAATGAAAAGGAGCTGATTTTCTAGTCCCTATCAACCTCCATTTTTTTTCTGCTGAATAGCGTAAACCTATGCCTCTACTTCTGATTTCAGTTTTTCTAAGCAGACTACTTGAAGGACTCTTGTCAGGAATGCAGAACTCACCCATACTTACCAGACAGGTTAATCAACAATTTGCTAAATCTGTTCTCCTTTTCAAAACTTGAAAGAGGAATAGCAGTAGACAAACTGGAGCAAACTTGGCATTACCCATGTACATCCAGTTCAACTGCAAATAATGCATTTTCTTTAATCTTTGTTTTCTGAAAACAGGGCAGTTCTGGCATGTATCTGACCTACATTTAGATCCGACTTACCACATTACCCCTGATCGCACCAAAGTTTGTTCTTCTTCCAAAGGAGCCAATGCCTCCAACCCAGGCCCTTTTGGAGATTTTTTGTGTGATTCTCCATATCAACTTATTTTGTCAGCATTTGCATTCATGAAGGATTCAGAACAGCAGGCTTCATTCATGATTTGGACAGGGTAAGTGTTCAAGTCTGCAGTTAAAGCTTTTAACAGCTGGATACCTAGTGCAGTAATTCACAAGTTTATATTTGCACCAACAGATCTGAGTTTACTGTCTCACAACTGCTACTTTTAAATAGTCCCTGTAGTTGCCCAAATGGCTTGTAAGTGGGAGACTGAGTGAGAATACAAGGCCTCAGGAACAGATTTTGGTGTCTCTCATCATTTCTGGTTATTGTTGGACTGTTCATTTGGATGTTTACCACATGACTGTATTAGTCTAAGTTAATAGAAATGGTGCGGGGAGGGTGGGAAGCGGAAAAAGCAAAAAGAATGGTCAGAGGAATAACTGACTGGAATGAATTATTATGGGAGGTACTGGATTTTGTAGGTCTTAAGGTCATTAAATCTAAAGTGCATCCCTTTGTAGAAGATACCCTTTGACTGTATTTTATTTGGTTCTGTAAGAGGTAACTAGAATCAAGCAATACTATAGCTTATGCATTTTTTTTTTAAAGTGTATAAAGTTGCCATTCAGGTTCAGTGCCTGTATGAATTCTGGGTCAGGGGCTAGTGGGGGGGGAGGATAACAGTGTCGCAGATGCTGCTGTCTCTCTCTTCATTACTATCACTCATAGCTGCATGTGCTTCTAAAGAAAGTGTGGTTTCACAGTCCCTCATTGCATTATTTTGGATATGTGCATTCCCTGTTGAGTAAAACGTTTACTTTTTCTGTGCCAATGTTCCTTATTAGAAAATGGGCATAATAATACTCTCTCTCACAGGTGTTATCTGTGAGGCTTTGCATGCCTTAGCAGTGGGACTGGAGAAAGAAGTGTGAAAGGGAGGCATATGAGCAGCTTGATAGTACCATGCCCTGTTACTTTCTAGGTATTCATAAAAGATAGCATTAATTTACCCCTCTGCCATAGCAAAATTCTCCATTCTACCATCACGTAATTTTTTATGGTATACATCAATGGATAATTTATCAAAGAGACTAGTATCTTTGAATGTTTGTGAGAACTAGCTTGTTTATCAATGATGGGGTCTTTTGCTGGAAAGGTTATATATGTTATGTCACTTAATTTTGCTGGGGGAGGGGTGTTAAGAAATACAAATATGTAAAAACAAGTGATTAATTTATTTCACTTCCTTGTACTTAATTTTCAACAGGATGTTGTTAAAAGGGGAAAAATAAACTTACAAGGTTGTGCAGATGATGGAAGATATATAACCCAAACTGCACAGTAGCTCAAAGTGATGGAGTTGAATTAATTTAATTTCTAAGAAAACTTAGTTATGATAAATGTGAATCATGGGATAAACATTAGTCTACTTTTTTTTTTTTTTAAATTCTTTGCAGAGAGTCTTTCAGGCAATGCTATGATTTTTACTTAAAGAGTCTATAGTAGTATTGCATGCTAGAATGTAGATGTGTCTGCAGATTTTTTTGCCTTTCCTTATGTTGCTAATAAACCTTTGTTAATAAAGCCTTGTCCTTTTTCAGAGATAGCCCTCCTCATGTTCCTGTAAAAGAACTCTCAACAAAGTTGGTGATTAGCATCATCGGCAATATGAGTTCTACAATTCGTAATTTCTTTCCAGATCTTCAGGTTTTCCCGGCCTTGGGCAATCATGACTACTGGCCACAGGTAAGACAAGTTAGAAATTTGTTTATATATCATACTGAGTGTGTTCCTAACCCCTCACAAAGTAGGTGTGAAAAGTAAGAGTTAAGTTTGTGTAACTGTTATTCTGGAAACAGTATTCTACAATTCTCCAAGGAGCATTTAAAATTGTAAATAGTTCCAATCAAGAACAGAAAGTACATCTCTGTCTCTGTGTTAAGTTACCCAAGCAAATGTTGATGCCAGGTAAAATCTGTACGTTGCCTGAGGTCATGCAAATTTACAGCTAATCATTCCGCATGGCTTAGAACCACCAGATCTCATCACAATTAATACACACTTTTTTTTTTCTTGCTCTGTAAGTCATGCATGTGTGTACAATAACTTAATCTAACAGAAATGATATCTTTAATGGATCTGTGAGCTCGTGGCAAGATTCAAGACATACTGAAAGGCCTACGGGAAATCTGTCTGCTGACATCACTGGATTTTTTTTATCAGACTAATGGTAGAATTTTGGTAACGTTCCCACAGTTTTGCCACTATTATTAAAAGTATGTCTTTTTTTTTCTTTCCTTATTTGACACTTAGAAATATTTGCATTGATGATTTAATGGGTATGTGCGCCATTGCAGCTGAGGACAGTGCTTTTTTACTTTTGGTGTTCTGCGAATATTGTTCTTGGCATAGCTCAAAAGTAAACAGTTGCTTCATGTGTCCTTTAAAGCAAATCGTGGGTTGATCTGGCAGCACACAGGACTGAGAAGCAAATTCTGTCATTGGATCTGAGGGGATCGGAAGGTCAGCTAAAATATTTTGTTTGAAATGCCTAATGGGAATTCAGTAACACTCCTTCATACCCCCAAAGACTTTTATTCCAGCTTTCTGTGTTATTCATTAGGCCTATCAGGGTGTATCTTGGTGTAGTAGGTGATTGTATCATTGCCTGTATCATTGCTGGAGTTAGTGATTCCCACATCAGGGAGTAACAGAGGTGCTAGGAGAGGGGAAAGGGAAATATGAGAGACAAAGTAAGAGCTAAACATCTTGGAAATGTGAGTGCCCAAACCAAGCTGGGACTTCAGTCTCTTGTGTTCTTACTCTGGTAGTATAGCTTCAGCTTGTCATATGCACTGACAGGGGGCCAGGTTGGTTCGCCAGAAATCACTGGTAAAGTATTTTGATAAATAACACCTCAACTGCAGTCTCACTCAGTGTTTTGTTTTCATTTTGTTTTGTTTTTTAAAAAGGCTTAACAGAGACTGGTTGTCATTCAGCAGTCGTCTTTGATGTAGAAGAAATAAAACTATACGTAGACAAAGAGTGTAGTGACTTTTCCGACAAATACGAGTTTTGTTTGTCCAACAAATATTTTATTTTGCTCTATCTGAAGATAGAAAAAAGATGGTCAGGAGGGGCAGACAGGCAGCAAATAATATTTTGAAGCAGGCTGCTAATTGGAATAACTGTTGTAGTTCTCTCTGCACAAAACCACACAGGAGTGTTTCTGTGATACTTTGCTTTTGAATGGCAGGCTTCACCAATGTGCAGAACTGACACACTTTTCTGTTGCTGTTTGAAAAAGACCATGGGATCAGAAATTCCCCGCTATGGGGTCATTTCAGGTTGTTGGATTTTTTTTTTTTTTAATGTTGCTGACGTTTCTGTTTTTCATATGGACATGCTTGGCATATGTCCCATAGACTGGAAGCAGTGTGGAGCAAGCCACACACTGTAGGCTGTTCCAGAGCAAGCGTGAAAGCTGCGCGCCGACCATGCACCGAAGAACTTTATTGCTCTCTGTTTTGTTCTGACTTGTCCATCTTAACAATTTAACGGTCTTGGGTGATTTTTCTTGCAGAGCCTATTAAAAATACTACTCGGATTAATCAAGCATTGGGGTACCTTTCGGACTGTGTATTGTGACCTCGGTCTTTCTGCATAATCTTACTTGTTTCACATCCTTGTGCCTGCTTAAAACAAATTCCCGAGCTGCTGTCTAATCCACAAGTTCACAGAGCACTGCCTTGCCTGGGTCCAAACCACCTTCAGCCCATAAGATGGCCTCTTATCTGAGATCAGGTTTTGCTGTATCTGTTAGTGACTTGTTAACTCTGGCTGAACTGTTATGGCTTAAAGCTTTCTTAATAACTGGTATCTGTGCAGTGAAGCAACAAATGTCTGAACACGCTTCTGATTGCACTACTCCTAGACAGAGACTTAGTGCCTAAGCCTCTAATAACGTAGGTTTAGTTTCAAAGATATGAGAAAGGTCAAATTTTATGTTTAAGAAAACATGCACTGTAATACTGTTCCTATTTTTCGACCTCTGTTTTTTTCCTTCTAGCCCCAAGAATTCAAGCAGATATTTTAGGAAAGGCAAGGACAGGCAGGGTTCTTCCTGTCAGGGTTAGATGAGAGCATGGCTCTTACCAGGCTGTGGCACTGGGACATTGCTTGGCTCAGACTGAAGAGTGCTACAGTCCTAATTAGAACCAGTGGGAGAAAACATTGACAAAACTTTTCTTTTACATTTTAAATGCTTTGTTACTAGAACTACAGGATACCATGGAAATATTTGTGAATTTCACCAGAATGTTTCTGAGGGCTGTAGTGGAATTTTGGGGAGCTGCTATGAACCCCAAGTTGCTTGAAAAATTCACCTTCTGTAAAAGAAGCTTATGTTCAAGCTTTTCCTCCAAGAGACTTTATTTTTAGACTTTGAATTTTCAGTTTATATATTTATTAATTTTATGGAATGTTTGGTTTTCCACTCTGCTGTGCTCCTAAGGCTTGAAATATTTCTGGCATTAGTTTATCAATGGATTAACAAGGCCATGCAGTCATTTCTGACTAAGTTCAGGCATTTGTTCCTGATCAGCAATACTGATGTTCAGAAGTTTTTTTTTCCTTTCTTGAGTTCCTCCTAGTGATGACTGGATACACTTACGTGTTATGTGAGAGGTCAGGTGGGATAATTTAGTGATTTTTTTTGTCTGTGTGTCTGAATGCTAAGACTTAGGCAGGTTCTGCTCTCTCACAGGATCAGCTTCCTGTAACTACCAGTGAAGTTTACAATGCTGTAGCAGATTTCTGGAAACCTTGGCTAACAGATGAAGCAATCAATACCTTCAGAAAAGGTAAGAGGCATGGTAAAGCTAGGGCGTAGAGAACTAATGTTTCTATAGATTTGTCCCATTTGTTTAGCTAAGCCTCGTAGGATGAATCAGTGCAATGGATCATCTGTAATGCTTCTCCTGGAAGAAGTTACTTGTCTTTTTGAATAGCAATGCTTATCTTCAGGGTACATTTATTCTCTTATGATGCAATAATTATTGTTTCTTGGAACATGTACGCTATTATTGGCTTTCTACCAATACATGTGAAATATCTTATTGCCTTCAAGACATCATAATACTTTTTAGATAAAAGCATATGATGCACAAGACGACTTAAATTTGGTTGTAAAAAATTGATGAAATGTTGTTTCTGTTTGGATACTGTATGTATTTCAGAGCATATTGAATAGGCACATATTTGTTCAAATTATGATAGCTCATAGTCTTGGTGGCTATACTGTTAATTGCATCATATTTGTGTCCAGCTTACTAAACTGGGAGAATATTGGTATCCTAACCATGATTTTTCTTTTTAGCAAAGGACTGAAAAGTTCAACCCAATTTCCAATCCACTCAAATACTAGGGATTTGGAAGTATAATTTGTGTTTTTGTGGCTTGAATGAGAAGGAACTCTGGGTAAGAGTGGAAGTAGAAACTCTAATGGGAAAAATAAAACTCAAAGGGCAGCCCTTAAGTTAAAGGTATATTGTTATAACTCTGTTGCCATGGCTCCACTGAAGTCCATGAACTATGAAATTGCACCCGTTGAAGAAGCTCTGTATGCCATGGAGAGTTCTAGGAGCTTGGATTGAAAAACGTGATCTTTGCTTTACATCATATTCCAGTCTGAAGTTAAATGACTTTCAAAGTACAAGGCTACTAAACTCAACAGTTCTTCCTGGAGGAACTTATATGTTTGCAGTATTTCAAGAAATGTGGACTTTTTAACAATTACTGCATCTCTCTGCGTGGAAGAAATGTTACAGGGCACTTCTTGCGTGTCAGTTTGATAATTGCATCTGAAAACTGTCAAATAAACAGAAAGGCAATTACGGGCAAGAATTCATAAAAAAATTCAGTGGCAACTTTTCCGACTAAAATGTTGCTAAAAACAGATTTTTAAGATGTTCTGTTGTGATAAGGTGATGCATGGCTTGAATAAACATGCCATATTCTATTTTGTTAGAGTAAGGCTGGGTATTTTGTCAGTGCTGTACTTTTATTCTAAAGTTGTGCTTTGAAGTCTTTCATTTTTCAGGTGATGTTTGTCTTATGTTCACAGGTGGCTTCTACACACAGCTGTTTGAATCCAGTGATAGCCCTCAACCACTCAGGATAATCAGTCTGAACACAAATTTATATTACAGCCCCAACTATGTAACTGTGAATATCACTGACCCAGCCAACCAGTTTGCCTGGCTGGAGGGAATACTAGAAACCTCTTCACAAAAGAAGGAAAAGGTAGGAGCTGTGAAGAGAACCCATCAGTGTTATTTGTTTAAACTTTGGAAAAAAAAAAAAAGAAATTAAAGAAATAAGAAGTAGAGACAATGAAAATATAAACACGATTCTAGAAGAATATTAATGCTGCCAAAGATACTGCAAAATCGCAATTTCATTTTTTAATAATCTTCCTTGAATATGCACATTATACTACAACAATTAATGAAACAGTGGAATGCAGTTTCTCAAATTATACAGTAAAATACCTTTTCTTTCCTACTATGTAAAATACCGCAGAAGTCAGGATGAGCATACTCTCACTTTTGTTTCTGACTCTTTTTACTCATAGCCTTTAATTTTAAAATGTGCACCTTCGGCCTGAGACAAAAGCTAGCATATTTCATTTACATTTTTATGTAATTACAAGTATCAAAAATAGAAATTAGAAAGGAGGTTGTCAACCACAAAACTTAGCCAAGCTGCGGCAATTGCTGTGATTTGAGTGTTATAATAAATTGTCATATAATACTCAGGTTTTGAAGTGAGGTTACAAATTGTTGGCTTGTGTTTGATTGATTGGTGCGGGGATTGGATCATCATCTGACCAGAAAAAAGTGTTTAATTTGAAACATATTTACATTTTGCTACAGTGTTGTAATTTTAAAAATGTTATAGTCGGGAGAAAGGAGAGATCTCCCTTCCTCATAAAACCCTGCAGCATATTAGTGTGTGCAGTGGGAACCAAGTCTCGACCTCAGACAGAGGGGTTTTAACCAGTTCTTCATGTTTCTGGTGACTCTCTGACTATGCAGGCTCTGTAATATTCTAACATAAGTTTTTCTTACTATCCCCTTGAGATGCCAAATCATAAGTCTTGCCCTAGTAGCTTATCTTTTCATTACAAAGAATTGACCACATTTTCCTTTGGCCTAGAATCACACATAGATTTATCGGAACTTTTTTCCCAAGAATATACTGAATTCACTAAAAAACAAATGTATTTTATTTTCTCATTATGAATTTAAACATTCTTACTGTTTGTATTTTGTGTAACAAAACTCTCGTGATTTATAGCTTTCAGAATGCCATTTCTAAGATAGAAACGGTCACCACAGTTTTGTTATAATGCTAAGTTACAGCTAGAAGTCTAAGTTTCAAGTGAAGGTGCTAATTGTGATTTCTGTATCTAATTCCTTAGGTATATATAATAGGACATGTACCAATAGGATACTTGCCATATGCAAGGAATACTACAGCTATCAGGGAGTATTACAATGAGAGACTGGTAAAGATTTTTCGCAAATACAGTAGTGTGATTGCGGGGCAGTTTTTTGGACATACGCATAGAGATAGTATCATGGTCCTCCTGGATGAAGAAGGTAATGATGCTTGTTGAATCCTTCATCTTTTTCTTCTTGCTTAAAAGCAAATTAATACTGTCTTGCATGTTCTTACTAGTCAGCCTCTGTTATAAATAATTGAAAAGGGAAATTGGGAAATACTGCTATTTATCTACAAGAGTTCAAACCTCACACACTTCCAGTTTTTTTTTCCGAAGAGAACCTTTCAAGGCAGACTGTCTTTTTTGTTGGAGTCAGAAAAGACTCCCCAAGTTTCCTGTTTTTTTTTTTTTTTTAATGAATGCTTATGCCTAGACAAGAATTTCTAGTCTTTCCACTCTCTCAGTGACATGGGCAAATTATACTAGCCAGTTGCTATTGTGTAATGTGTCAAAGAGAATGTTCTCAGGCCAACTAGACATGCTCTATGTTCTTGTGTTTCCTGCATCATTACTGTGCCTCTCTGCTGAGTTCCCTGCTGCTTCAAAGTTAATTAAGATAAGGGTAAGCAGGAGGCAGGGGAAAGAAAGTCTCTGCCTGTTGCATCTTAGATCAGCTAATTTCCCTTCAAGAAAAGCACCCGGGTTTGAAAATGTTGTTTATTGCTTTGAAACGCGTAGTTTTAAGCATGGGCGTGGCCATATGGAGCACTCTAACATCTCTAACAAGTAACTGGTTAAATATTTGTGTGTGTACCATAGAACAGCAAGAGGTCCATTGCTTTGGTTTATGTAAAATAACCAAATATTAATTGGCTCTTTATCTATGTTTTACATGAACTCATAAAAGCAATGACCAAAATGCTGACTGGGGTAACAGTATTCTAAATCATTCACTGTTTACATCGCATTATCATGGAATTAATCTCCAGTAAAAAGGAATCTAGCCCTAGTGAAAGAAATGGCTTTTTATATTTTTTTAAAATGGCAGTCAAGGCAGTCTTATACCTACATATTTTTGTACCTTGTCCCATTTGTGCATGAAATCATCACCTCTAGTGCAAATTTCACTGAGGACAGACTGATCTTGGTGCCTTCTCATTACAGTTTGCATGTGCAAGTAACTGCTTCCAAATTATTTTAATAATTTTGCATCTTTTGACAAAATTTAACAGTGAAATTGCATGTAGCTCAATACAGTTTGTGTTTATCTGTACAATTTTAGGCTGTCTTCTATTTGTTCCATTGTCCTCTTGACAAAATTCCAGAGAATTTGAGATAACTGTAATATTGTAGCCAACATCAGTGTACTGAAGATGCAGAGGTCAGTTTTATCTTCTCCAGAAGAATCTACTGATTTCCAAGCTTTCAAAGCTTCTGCTTATATGTGGAGACTGACCTTGTGATTTCACTGCTGTGATGTTGTCAGAGAAAGGCATAGTTAGGGCTTCTTTTTCGTTCCACAGAGAACCTCTCGATATACTTACCTGCATATTCTGTCTAATTAAAATCCATGTACATCCTCATGTTTCAGTTTCCGTAAAGATCAGTGTTCACATACTAGGTGCTGGGCTAGTCTAGATGAGTGAAGTCAGGGTCAGGTGATAATACCCTGGTGCTTCTAATAACATCATAAATACATAAAGCAAAAAACCCCCATAAAGTAACATGTAAAATACAGCATGGAGACAGCAACTAAAAGTTTTTAATGTTTCTTCAGTAGAAATACGCAAAATGCGGAGACCTTACATATAGGCAAGACCATTTTGCACAGGTAGTTGAATTGGTGGGAAGCCTCTAGTATAGACAAACTTAACTGGTACACGCTGGAATGTGTAGTGTGGTATTTTACACAGATCTGTCCAGTGGAAGTATAGAAGGAGTTCACAGTGCTATAACTAATTGACGGAAAGAAAAATGCTAATGTACCTAAGCCAGTCACTCTGGTTCTTGCTCTGTTAGTTCTCTACAAAAACATTCATTTAAGAAAGAAATGACTGAAAGGAAACTGTTTCCTCACCTTCCCTCTTCCTGCAGAAAAGCCAGTAAATTCCTTGTTCGTGGCACCTGCTGTAACCCCAGTAAAGAATGTATGGCAAATGGAGTCCAATAACCCTGGTGTCAGATTGTATCAATATGATCTTCTTGATTATAGCTTGCTGGTAAGTAAAGATTTTAAAGCATTCTTTAAGACTTTAAATATAGTGTCATTAAAAATTACAGTGAGTCAGCCTGTGTGGTATTATGGCTACCGGTGGAACTTTGGTGCTTACTCTTATTTTACTTCCTGGGCAAAGGAAATCTGAAAGAGAACTTGGTCAGTCTCTCAGTGCCTGCAGGACTACCCAGTACTTCCTATTCTGGAATGCTGTTACATTGTAGAATCAAAGACAGTTAGAAATTTTCTGGGCAGAATCCAAAACTACTTGCAGGGAGCTCTGCAATGGTGAAAAAGGTCCACCTAAATCCTGGGCTTGTTTACATACCAATGTTGTTTGCTAGTGAATGCCTGAGCTTTGGGATAAAGTCCATGAAATGCTTCTAAAGGGTGTAGAAGAGCAGAGGAAGAAAAGCACTTTTAACCATGTGATGTCTTTTGTAATCATGCACCTTCCTATATAGAGTTCATACTTGTTATGGGAAATTATAGATAAATTTAGAAGGAAAGAAGTAGAATACTTCTGTAGTCTCATGTGATTTTTGGAGATAAAGTGAATCCTGTATAATTATTTTGGCTCTGAATGACTCGCATATTCTCTCTGTAATTCAGGGTAAAATCTTGACCTCGCTGAGTTCAGTGACAAAGCATCGTGCAGCTTGACTGGGACTGGGGTTTCTCTCTGGAGACCTATGCTAATAGAGGCTGCGCCTTTCTTGTGCAGATCTCACTCCTGCATCTCCATTTCTCCCTTTCCCTTAAATTCTCCCTGGGCCGTTCTTTTTCTGTTCATTCCACCCCTCAAGCAGTGCCCGCAGAAAAGAAACTTCTGGATCTCGCCCTTTTGCCCCATTCCTTAAAGCAGAGGTGAGGATAGTGGAGTCTGGTTTACAGTTTGGACAGGAAACACCTCTTAACAGTTCTGCTGCTGCTTTTTGTGGCTCCTTTTTCTCCTCTTCCCCATCCCCCCACCATTACTGCACTGCAAGTACCAGCTTTGGGTGTAAGCCCAGCTCTTGGGGTAGGACGTGACCTTCTACTCAGTTGTGAATAATGAGGGGTGACAGCTTCCTAATCAATATATCACTCTAGAGACTTAATGAAGCAGGGAAGAAAGCAATACAGGCGTGCCTATTTTTTCTTTCTTTTTTTTTTTTTTAACTGTAGGATCTTTGGCAGTTTTATTTGGACCTCAGAGATGCCAACAAGAAAAATGAATCGAACTGGAAATTAGAATACATCCTCACTAAAGCTTATGGCATTGAAGACTTGAAGCCAGAAAGCCTATATGAAATGGCCAAGCAGTTGTCTGTGCCACACAGCACACTGTTTGAACAGTATTACAGTAACTTCATTGTGAGTTATGACAAAACCATTGTCTGTGAAGAGGGGTGCAAGACCTGCCAAATATGTGCAATTCAATATTTGGATTACTCCTCATACACAGATTGTCTCAATCGGGAAGCAGCGTGGAGATGAAGTCTTCGTGCAATTTATGCTGATATTGACTTTAGCCTGTGATTTAAAGAACCTGCTCATCCTTTTGCTCGAGCACTCAATGCTGACAGGGAGCCTGTGAGACTTCTCTGAATTTCAGGGGAGCAATAAATCTCCCTAGATCTTTCTTCTTGTGAACATGGTTTCCTTCCACATCTAAATAAAAGTCTATTGGCTATGTAATAGTGACCAGATACTTTGCTGTTGTTTCAAGTGTCCTGTGCCCTCTGTAACAGGCATCCCAGTATGCGGGAATAGACGTTACTCAGTTCTTTGGAAATCCAAGTCTCTTTTCTCAGGGTGTGTAAAGGTAGGCAATGCCATTTCAGGCATGGGATTTGTATGGGGGCAGGTTTCAACCACCTGCTGTCACAATTTGCAAACTGAAGTCTGCAAAACCCACATTTGCTGAGAGTGGAGTGCAGTTATGTTGTTGATGGCGATGCCAGCATTAGGTATCTCCCTGTGCCAAGTTTCCTTTTCTTTCTTAACCCCTTAAACCCACCTCTGTTCAGGGGCATATTCAAACGACAGCATGAAAGTGACTTAATGGATCACAAACCTCCATCCTGTAAATACTTAATGTATTTTCTCAGAATGTGTGTGTTTGCCCAGTGCAAAGTGCTTTTTTCTTATGATAGAGCTATGTGCATTGGTACTGCTATCAAGTGGTCTCCTGGTATGATATTTTGCAGCAGACCAGAAATCAGGTTTAAATTGATCAACATCACCAATTAGACATAGCACATACATTCTCTGTGCAGCACAGCTGAACATGCACTTGTCATGGTGTTTCCCGGGTTTCTTTTTCATAGAGCAGTCTAATAGAGTCATAGAATCATACTTAATGTGAAGATTATCACATGTATGAATTTACAGTTGCACAGACCACTTCTTCCTCTTTGTGTGATTAAATGTGTGCACAAGATGATAATATTAAGAAGGCTGTTTATCTAGTGTGTATAACCAAGAAGGACCTTTACCCATTTTTCTGTCACATCAAGAGCTGTACTTATGGAACCTTTGGTCAATGCAATACCATACAGACCCTTCTCTAGATAATATTATTCCAGAGTAACTGGAGCTGTAGGAGTGGTTGTAAGACAAATCCAATGCTAACTGTTTATTTTCATGAGACTAAAGCCTTCACTGTAGCTGTTGAGGAATTTTCTGGTTTTGCTTCTACCCAAGCTTGACATACTTAGCAGAATATTTCCGGACAAATTTTCTAAGTATGTAGTATTCACAACTGCAGATGCAGATACCTCAGATTTTTCATGCATCAATCATCCACAGAGGAAATGGTTGGTTTGCTAAATTTGCATTCAGAAACAAATCCTCCAGTGGCACTAATGTTTCGAAATGCCATTAATAATGCACAGTAGGGGGTCCTGTATTTTAAATTCTGTGCTTGGAGAGGTAAACTCTTTAGAGCTATCTGCTCTGGCTAATCTTGAATGTATCAGGATATGTAAATAACCTGAGTTAACATGGGTTCTGTGCAGACTGTGAGGAAGTACCAGAAAGTTTCAGTGCTGAAAGCTGATGATTCCGTCTGTGTTGGATATGTTTCTTGATTTGGTTTCTCATGGGTTTGTTCATTAAAAAATGCCTGTGTTACCAGTATCTGTTCTCCAAGGGCAAGCAAGCAAAGTTGTGGGTGGATAGCATACGGGTAATTGCAGCTGATAGGATAGCTGGTCTTCCTCCAATTTGCCAGATGGGTTTTGTTTAGTTCAGTCTTGTGCTTTGAACAACTGTCTCTTTCCCCATACTGGTTTGTTTCTGTGAGTTCTATGACTTCCATTTAAGCATAATACCTACAAGACATTTTGGAAACACTATAAAAATTATCGAGTTGTATTCTTCCATTAATAATAGAATCATAGAATCGTTTAGCTTGGAAAAGACCTTTAAGATCATCCAGTCCAACCATTAACCTAACACTACGAAGTCCACCACTAAACCAGTTAAGGGTAGAGTAGCAACCCCACGCCTCCTGGCTTGGTGGCTGGATTATTTTTTAATGAAAGTAAAAACTAGGAATCATTAAGGTTGGAAAGGATCTCTAAGATCATCAGTCCAGCCATCAACCCAACACCACCATGCCCACTAAACCATGTCCCAAAGTGCCACGTCTGCCCGTTTTTTGAACACCTCCAGGGATGGTGACTCCACCACCTCTCTGGGCAGCCTGTTCCAATGCTTGACCACTCTTTCTGTGAAGAATTTTTTCCTAATATCCAATCTAAACCTCCCCTGATGCAGCTTGAGGACTTCTTTATTGCTGAACTTTATGGAGAGCTGAACCATGTAACAGATCAGTAGCTACAGAACCCTAGGAAGAATGGTGTGCTGCTGATAGGTTGTTGGGCATCTTGCTTCCTAGGTTTTTTTTTTTTTTTTGTATGTGTGTCAGTAGATGTTATTTAGTGAGCTTGAACAAATAAACACCTACAAATGTCTTAAGTAGCAAGCTATGATCCAGACATGCTTTTTTTTTTTTTTTTAATCTGGACTTCAGTTGAAGCTGAGAATTGGATGGCATCAGCCAAGCAGGTTGTTTTTGTTTCAGCCAGAGGGATATATCCACCAGGGTTACATTTAGCCAAGGTATATCCTGCAAGATACATCCTGTTAGGCAGGCTAGCATTCTCTGCTTCTCCTATATGTAACTACTCATGCAAGTGCAAGCATAATTGGGCAAGAAAGATCCAGGAGTATGTTTGACTGCATCATCTTGTAACTCTGACATAAACCAAGGAGAGAGCTTCTAGGAATGTTGCACTGTAAAAAACTTGAGATGAATCACATGAACAGCTTAGATGGCACGTTGGTGTAAGGGGAAATAGAGGGCGACCATTGTATTTTTGTTTCAGGTTCCTGCTTTATTCCTTCATGGATCTAGGAGTGTTCCAAAGGTGAGTTATCCTTTCCTGACAGAAGATTTTTTAAGGAATCATAAAAAATGCCAAAGAAAGACGACCTGATAAAGTTGATGACTCCTGTAGACCAGATTCCTGTTTCACTTTTTTGTATGGTATTTTGTGGCCCCATGTGGAATGAAGGATTAGGGGGAACATTTGTAAGGCCACATTTGACAGAAAGACAAATTACACCACCTAGTGGAGTAAAAAGCTTTTCATTTATCTACAATTAAATTGAGGCGTATAAACAAGGAGAGTAACTTCGCAAATATTCTAGGATTTACCTTCTAGTTTTTGAAGGTAAGTAGTTTTTGAAGGAAGTACTGATACTTCTTTGTAGCAGTACTGCCATGTAGTACACTTTCTCTGGGTATTAAATGGTTGCTGGCTCCTAGAGGCCATGTAACTTGATGGATCCTGAACCCTGTGGTAGGTACAGGTCTCAGCCCACCTCCAGGGAAGAACTGGAGCCTATGGAAGGGATCCTCAGAGTCCAGCTCAGCTAACCAGCAAAAAAGGGATGAGATGGAAACCAAAGATCTATCCCTAAGCAGGCTGGTGTCTCCTTCCAAATAGTTTCTGTGCTTTAATTCTGTCCTGGAGTTAATTTTCTGAGCTTATGTCTACATTAAGAGGTACTGCAGCCTAATAGAAGTGCCTTTTTTAACAGGAGAGTTGGTGCTGAGAAGCTGAAGTGACTGCTGCACATTTCATTAGCAGTTGGAGGATGTTAGATGTACCCTTGAAGTGCAGCTGCCAATGGCATTGCATCTGAAAGAGCACTGTCCAAGAGCACTCTGCAACATGAATAAAAGCACAGTAAGTGGGGATAATCAGTAAACTCTGTTCAAAGGTCTGCTCCTGAGCCAAACTAAAGTGAAGGTGCACCCAGAGGCCAATGTTAATTGCTTTAGATTGGGGCACTCAGTAGTTTCTGGATGTGATCTCATAATTTCTATTGGTTTTCATTTGCTAGTCTGAAGAAATTGAAATGACTGGAGGAGATGGGCAGTGAGTGAAGTGAACATACTGTTAGTAAAATTGAGGTGGTGAACTTAAATTGTCTAAAGACAGAAATAGGTAACTAAGTACACGTAGTCCCTTGTGGTCCATTTCCGGTGTGGACAAATGATGAGCATGTAGGATCTTCAAGGATAAGTATCTAGTTTAACACCGTCATGTAAGTTCCCTTTGTGGAAACAAAAAAAGACATCTCAAGAAGGTGAGTTGTCACATCGGTCTAAGAATAAAACCTCGTGGAAGTCCCTCTCATGCCCGGTCAACAGGAACTATGACAATGTCAATGAAGAAAGGGACTGTAACTGTTTAAACAAGATAGTTGCTTTCCTTCCTTATTGTCCAAAAGCTGAAGACTAGCTTTTATCTGCTTACCACTACAGCTTTCAACAAGAAAATATTGCTTTAGATATTCACTAGCCCAGCTTTCTTGTTCTGCTGGAGGAACATCATACCTAGGAATTCTACCAGTTTTGTTATTTGCTGGTCTGCAAGAAGCCTAGTGTAAAATAGATGTTGTTTTCATACTGTGTGTGAAATATCACAACTGTAGAAATTCAGAGAAAACACAGAGAGAAAAAATAACCAAAAATGCTAACCATCATATGTATGCTTAATTAGTTTCTGATGATTGTGGGAATGGTAAAGGCAGTGTACTTAATGAACATCGCCAGTGTGCTACTGAACACTGTACATCAATTCCTGTGAAAGTAGGTATCAGGAGAGTGGTCACAAGTAGGATGGAATGTGCAGTAGGTGGATGACTGAAATCATAACAAGGGAATCACTTAAAACCAAAAATGTTGAAAGCAAAACCACTGGAAATGTGGCGAACCCCAGCCCCAAGCACTTAGCGAAGCAGCGGAAAGAGCACCGGTGTGCTTATAAATGTGGCCAAATTATAGCTTTTCAAGTGCAACTTACGTTGCCTTCTGTGGTAGAGCTATATTGAAAGACTGTCTGGAAAATTCCTTCCGTTACCTGCATTTCTATGAAGTTGTGATCTGATCTACCTGTCAGATGTGTTACAGCTAATTACTGAAATATTCCTCCATCATGTCTTCCAGCTTGCATTGGGTAAGAAAATTGGACACTCTGTTCTTGTACCCTATAAACTCTTTGTTGGATTTTAAAGCAACCACTGAGACATCAGGAATAATTAAGCTGGAGAAGTTTCAGATGTAGAGCTGGGCAAAAAAAGTTTTTCCCATCCTGAGAAGCCTCCTGAGATTTCAAGATTTCCCACTGGAATAAAACCAAGACCTTGTTGAGGTTTTAGGCAGGGAGATATGCAAAGTGGGGATTTGCACCTGAGCCTGCCACCTTCCCCTCAAGCACTTGCTGTGCATCTGTCATGGTGTTGACTATGCTTTCTCCTTCTACCCTGGAACTGAACAACTTTTGAAATCAAAATTTT